ACCGAAAAACGATACATAGTACTGTGTTGGAGCGATGCTTGAAGGGAGCCAAAACATGGCACAGTACACGAGCACCGTTTTCGTATCGAAGACGCTTACGGCTAATCGCCGCCGTCCCCCGCCTTTTACGATACGCGTGGCCAGACGTTTGGGCAAAGTTTGGCCAAGCCCTTCGGGGAACACGTGAGCAGGGATGAAGGAGGGGGATGAACAAGGAGGGGGAGGAGAAGGAGGAGGAGGAGGAAGAGGAGGAGGAGGAGGAGGAGATTTCCTGGGAGTTTCTTGGGTCATTCTTGGGGCCTCCTGTGAGTCCCTTGGGGACCTCTTGGATGCCCCTTGGGGGCCTCCTCGGGCCGCTTGGGGGCCTTTGGGGTCTTCGTGGGGGCTTCCTTGGCTGTTTTAGGAAGTTCCTGGCTCGTCTGACGCCGTCGGATGCCGTTTTGGGTGCCTTTTTCTGGGCCGTCTTGGGGCCCTCTAGTGATGTGTCAGGCCTGTTTGGGAGGTCATCTTGGGCGTCTTGTGGACCTCTTGGGCCGTCTTGGCGCCCTCTTTGGGCCGTCTTCGGTACATCTTGGGCCGTCACGGGGCCATGCTTACGGTCTCTTGGGCGCTCTTGTTGCAATCGTGAGGCCGCTTTGGTGGGCCTTTGGGGCCGCATTGGGGCCTCTTGGGCTGTCATAGGGCATCTTGGAAGCATCTTGGGCGATCTTGTGGTAAGATTGCGGGCCTCTTGGGCCGTCTGGTGCAGTTGGAAGACCGAAGCCGAGCAGATACGTAAATCCGTCCAACGCACCGAATGACAAAATCATGGTTTGGCTTTTCGGGTCTTCTTGTATATCCTCTTGGAGGATCTTGGAGGCGTCCTGGGCCGTCTTGGGGGCCTCTTGGGGGCCTCTCAGGCCATCTTGAAGTCATGCTAGGTCGTTTTGGGTTCACCTTGGGCCGTCTGGGAGATATTGCTGCCGTCTTGGATTATATTGTAGGACATCTTGGCCGTTTTGGAGACCATCTTGGGAATCTTCGATACCTATCGGGTCGTCGTTGGATCCCCTTGTGGCCGTATTGGTGGTCTCTTGGCCGTCATGGGGCAATGTTGGAGGATCTCGGGGGACGTCTTTGGCTGTCTTGGCCGTCGGAAGGCCGACAAGGAGCAAAAACCAACAACCTTCAAAAACCAAGAAGCAATGATGATGGCTCCTTCGGGCCTTCCTGTATGTTTTCTTGGAGGCCTTCTGGGCGGTCTTGGAGGCCTCTTGGGGGCTTCTTGGGCCGTTCTGGGCCATATTGAGACCATCTTAGGCCGTCTTGGGTGCATCTTGGACCGTTTCGGATACATCTTGCGGCCATCTTGGACTCTCTTGGGGGCATCTTGGCCGTCTTGGAGGCCATCTTGAGCGTCTGGGGGGCCTCTTGGGCCGTCTGTGGGCCATCTCGGGGCCGTCTTGGGGGCTTCTTGTACCGTCACCATCAGGGAGGCTTCTGCGGCGATCTTTGGGCGATCTTGGGGGTCTGTTGGGCCGTTTTGGGTCGTCGGAAGGCCAAAAAAGGCACAAAACCACAAACCTCTAAAAGACTAGAAAGGCACATTCACTGATGCTGACCTTGTCGAGCCTCTCTGGAGGACCTCTTGGAGGCCTCTTGGGCCGTCTTGGAGGCCCCTTTGGGCGTCTTGGAGCATCTTGAGGCCAGCTTGGGCCGTCTTGCTGGCTTCTTGTGCGGAATTGGAGACATCTTGCGGCCATCTTTGGCTGTCTCGGGGCCATATCAGCCGTCTTGGAGGCCATCTTGGCAAGAGCTCTGCCAAGCTTTCGGGCCATGTATTCTCCCAACCGTTGTGGAAACCCTTCGGGGAACACCTGGGAGAGGATGGCGGAGAAGATCCGGAGGAGGAGGTAGAGGAGGAGGGGGAGGAGGAGGGGGAGGAGGAGGAGGAGGAGGAGGAGGAGGAGCAGGAGGATGAGGAGGCATCTTGGGAGCCTCTGGGGGCACTCTTGGGGCCTCCTGGGAGCTTTCTGGGAGCCTCTTGGAAGCATCTTGGGAGCCTCCTTGGGCTTCTCGGGGGCTTCTTTGGCTGTCTTAAGGCATTCTTGGTTCGTCTGAATCCTGTCGGAAGCCGTCCTAGGGGCCTCTCTGGGCCGACTTGGGGTTCTTTTGGGGTACTCCAGGGCCGTCTTGGAAGCCATCTTGGGCGTCTTGAAGGCCTCATGGGCCGTCTTGGGGCCTCCTTGGGGCCGTTTGGGAGCCTGGGCCGTTTTGGGGCCATCCTGGAGGCCTCTTAAGGCGATCTTGGGGCGTTCTTTTGGGGCTCTTGGGCCGTCTCGGGCCGTTGGAAGGCCGAAAAAAAGCAAATGCCAACATCCTCCAACTACCTAAGGGAAATCAATGATTTTGTCCTCTTCTGGCTTCCTGGAGGTCCTCTTGGAGGCCTCTGGGGCCGTCTTGGAGACCTCTTGGGGCCTCTTGGGCCGTCTTGGGCCATTTTGGAGACATCTTGGGCCGTCTCGGTGGGTTCCTGTCCCGCCTGACGCCGTCGGAAGCCGTCTTGGGGGTCTCTCTGGGCCGACTTGGGGCCCTCATGGGGAGCTCCAGGGCCGTCTTGGAAGGCATCTTGAAGGCCTCATGGGCCGTCTTGGGGCTTCCTTGGGGCCGTCTTGGGGGCCTCTGGGGCCGCTCTGGGGCCATATTGGAGGCCTGCCTCTTGGGCGATCTTGGGGCGATCTTTGGGGGCTCTTGGGCCGCCTCGGGCCGTCGGAGGGCCAAAAAGAAGCAAGTGCCCAAATCCTTAAAATACCAAAGGGAAATCAATGATTTTGGCCTATTGGAAGCCTCTTGGGCCATCTACCGTCATCTTGAGGCCGTCTTGGAGGCTTCTTGGGCCAACTTGGAGGCATTTGGGAGCCAATTTGGGCCATCTTCGAGGCCATCGTGGACCATCTTGGCTGAACTTGGATGCCATTTTGGCCGTCTTGAGGGCGTCTTGGGCCATCTTGGAGACATCTGGACCGGAAAAATGGTGGCAACCACCTCTTCCACGTGGCCGGCGCGCTGGGCCGGAGCTCCAGGGGGAGCTCTTCTGAACAATTATCTTGGCGAAGGATCCAACCAATGCAGTTGTGCGTAACGCGTTGTGGGTGCCGCTTTCGGTGGAGCTCCCTATGGGGCCACGAAGCGTGTGAGGGACGTGCCGTAACGGGTGGGGGAGACGCATGCGGGCAGTGCCATTAGGGCCTTCCGTGGGGCTCCCTATGGGCCACGAAACGCTGTACTGGGTGTGGCTGACGCATGCGGGCGGTGCCCCTCGCTGGAGCTCCCGATGAGGCCAGGAAGCGCTGTACTGGTTAGGGGAAACGCATGCGGGCGGTGCCGCTGGGGTCTTTCTGTGGGGCTCCCTACGGGGCCACGAAGCGCTGTACTGGGTGGTGGCCGATGCATGCGGGCGGTGCCACTGGGGCCTTCGGTGGAGCTCCCTATGGGGCCACAGGAGGGGGGGACGCATGCGGGCGGTGCCACTGGGGCCTTCGGTGGAGCTCCCTATGGGCCCACGAAACGCTGAACTGGGTGGGGGGTCGCATGCGGGCGGGCCACTGGAGTTCCCTACGGGGCAACGGAACGCTGTACCGTGTGGAGGGGGACGCATGTTGGCGGTGCCATTGGGGCTTGGTGGAGCTCCCAATCAGTGGGGCAGCGAAATGCAGTATTGGGTGGTGGACGACGCATGCGGGCGGTGCCACTTGCGTCGTTCTGCGGAGCTCCCTACGGGGCCACGAAACGCTGTACTGGGTGGTGGCTGACGCATGCGGGCGGTCCCACTGGGACCATCGGTGGAGTTCCCCATGGGGCCACGAAGCGCTGAATTGGGTGGTGGCTGACGCATGCGGGCGGTCCCACTGGAACCTTCGGTGGAGCTCCCTATGGGGCCACGCTGTACTGGATGGTGGCTGACGCATGCGGTGGGTGCCACTGAGGCCGTCGGTGGAGCCCCCCATGGGGCCACGAAGCGCTGTGCTGGTTTGGTTGCTGGTTGACGCATGCGGGCGGTCCAATTGGGACCTTCGGTGGAGCTCCCGGACCACGAAACGCTGTACTGGGTGGGTTGAACGCAGGGAGGAAGGGCTGTGCTGGGTGGTGGTTGACGCATGCGGGCGGTCCCACTGGGACTTTCGGTGGAGCTCCCTATGGGGCCACGAAACGCTGTATTGGGTGGGCGAAACGCAGGGAGGAAAGGCTGTGCTGGGTGGTGGTTGACGCATGCGGGCGGTCCCACTGGGACCTTCGGTGGAGCCCCCTTATAGGGCCTCGAAACGCAGTATGTACTGGGTGGCTGAAACGAAGGGAGGAAATGCTGTGCTGGGTGGTGGTTGACGCCTGCGGGCGGTCCCACAGGGACCTTCGGTGGAGCTCCCTATGGGGCCACGAAGCCATGTACCAGGTGGGCGAAACGCAGGGAGGGAGGGCTGTGCTGGATGGTGGTTGACGCATGCGGGCGGTCCCACAGGGACCTTCGGTGGAGCTCCCTATGGGGCCACGAAGCGTTGTCCTGGGTGGGTGAAACGCAGGGAGGAAGGGCTGTGCTGGGTGGTGGTTGCCGCATGCGGGCGGTCCCACTGGGACCTTCGGTGGAGCTCCCTATGGGGCCACGAAGCGTTGTCCTGGTTGGGTGAAACGCAGGGAGGAGGGAGGAGGGGGAGGAGGGGGAGGGGAAGAGGAGGAAGAACGCGGGGACCGTCTCGTCAAAACGAGGACCCAACACCACAGGATGGTTGGGAATATCCAAAACCAAACCAGTAGGATCTAGCACGCCGGGCAACCCTGTGGCCAGACCACGGAGAGCGGCGGATCCAGTGGCAGTCGTCCCATCCCGCTACAGTGCTTGTGGGCCTCTGGGGAGTCTCTTGGGGAGCCTCTGGGGAGTCTCTTGGAGGCAGCTTTGAAGCCTCTCGGGCCTCTTGGGACGAGCGCTGTCCTCGTCATGGGCGGTTTCCAGAGGCTCTCTGGCCGCCAGGGCCGCAGGCGGCTCGGCAGACGGGTCAGAACAGGCCCCCTGGGGCGAGTTTTGTGGGCGGATCCGTCGGGGCGCGCACGCGACGGTGTCAGTCCAAAGAGGGGGCCGAACGATGACAGAAACACAAGAACTCGGATGTCCGCGCGGATTTCTTGCATCGGCGCTGGACCCCCCTGGCGGCGCCTCCGGCGCCGCCCCTAGCGCGCTCCGCGCGCCAGGCAGGGGGTCCAGCGCCGATCCAAGAGATCAGCGTGGACCTCCGACAGTTCGTGTTTGTATCATCGTTTGATTCCTCGGGTAAAGCAGAGACCCGTCCCAAGCGGGTCCTCGCCCAGAAGGCCGGATTTCCGCAGGGTCCTGCAGAGCCGGAGTTTGGCTGAGCCGGCCTGCCAGCCGCTCGCGGCCCTGGAGACTTCGAGGGTCGGAGGACGTGGCACCTCTTCATCGGCGGAAGGCGGCGGGAGGTCCGCGGAGGCCAGCGGAAGCAAAAGGTGCGCCCCTCCAAAAGATAGCATTCTTTTTTGGGTTCAGGGTTCCTGGAGCCCGCCACGTACAGTCGACCCGCATAGTCAGGACGGGCAACCTTCCCAAGGGCACCCTTGCATCCTTGCCCCTTCGGTCCATCCTTGGCCACTTTCGCTGGCCAGGCCCCGCTCGAAAAGCTTCGAAATGGCCTTCCAAGGCTCTTGCATCCTTATCGCGCGTCCTATGATACGGGTTGACTGGATTGGCTGAGCCAGGTTCGGGAAGCCCCGCCATAAGCTGCAGAGCAGCTTTTTTGAACGGTGACTGAGCCAGGTCAGCGCACACGCCCACATGCGGGTGAGGGGGCAGGGCTCGCGGCGAGGGGGGGGCGGCCGGCAAGGAAGGCGCCCCAGCTGCCGGGAGCTCTTCTGCCGTCCACGGGTGACTTTGAAGGCCTCCGAGAAATCGGGCCCTTCTAGATGAAGAAATCTCTGCCTTCTGGGAAGGCCCCCCCCCCCCGCCCCGCCACCAGCTGTGCGCCGCCAGAGGTGCGCCGCGCGGCGGAGGACGAGGCCTACGGCGCGTCCCACACCTCCTTCTACACGGACGCGGTGGCCAAGGACAAGTACGACACTCTGGCGGAGGTGCTCGACAAAAAGTTGAAGGACGAGAAGCTGAAGGGCATGGTCAACGAGCTGCTCGACTGCTGCGTCAAGATCACGGACGCGCTGAGGGTGAACCTGGTGACGGTCAACGACAGTTCTAACACCTTCGGCGACACGCAGCTCACCGTGGACGTGATCGCGGATGACCTTCTCTGGGACCTGGCCAAGACCAGCAAGCTAGTGACCGAGGCGTCGTCGGAAGAGGAGCCCGAGATTGTCAAGACCAACCCCGACGGGCAGTTCGTGCTGTGCTGGGACCCGCTGGACGGCAGCTCCATCGTCGACAACAACTGGGCGGTTGGCACCATCGTCGGCATCTGGGACAAGTCCACCGGCCTGCTGGGCGCCACCGGCCGCGACCAGGTGATGAGCCTCGTGGTGCTCTACGGCCCGCGCACAACCGCCTTCGTCACCCTGGACGACGGCGTGTACGAATTCACCTGCGGCCCCGGCAACGAGTGGATCTGCTCCCGCGAGAAGATCCAGATCCAGAAGGACTGCAAGATCTTCGCCCCGGCGAACCTCCGCGCCGCCCAGGAGGCGCCCCCACCGCCAGGATTGCCCATTTCCACTGTTTCGGAGCCGTTCCCCAGGAGCTCGGGGAGTAGTGGGTATGGATGCCTGTCCGCCCTGGAGGGCCTCGGAATTATCCGTAGAACCACCTCTCCCTGGAGGCCCAGGGCGATGCTCCAGAAGCTTTGGATGCGGACTGTTTCCCGGCAGTGCAACGAGTCGTGGGCGAAAAGCATATCCGTAGCCACCGCATCGTGGGCCAGGCCCTCGGCCGCGATCCCGCAGCTGCGGGGCGCTGTCTCGCAGATGCCCCGGGCGGAACGCATCCGTGCGACCGCGTATCCGCGCGATCGCGTCCCAGAACCCAGACCGCGAGGGCGCCAGCCGGTGCGGATATGTTCGCCGTTCGTGAAAGGTGGACGGCTACAGCAAGTTGGTCGACTACTACATGAAGAACAAGTACACGCTCCGCTATTCGGGTGGCCTCGTTCCCGACGTCTGCCAGCAGTTCACCAAGCGGCAGGGCGTGTTCACGAACCCCACCTCCAAGGCATCGCCCGCGAAGCTGCGGCTGGCCTTCGAGGCCGCGCCGTTTGGCAGGCTGGCGGCGGAGAGCAATCCTCTTCGGCGAGCCCGTGGGGGGCGTGAGAAGGAGAAGGCCTTGTCAAAAGCCTCGGAAGTCCCTTGGCCTTCTGAGAACTTTCCTTTTGCCTTTCCCAGAGACACAGAAAAGCTCTCAGAAGGCGCGAAGGCTTCTGAGAAGTCCCGCCGCCTTCTAAGAAGGCCTTCGCATTCTCACTTCCCCCCTCGCTCGCCGCCGAAATCAGGGAGACTGGTGTGGGTGGGGTGGGGACAGGCATGGGGGGGATGCACCGACAGGCATGGGGGGGGATGCATCGACCTCGGATCGCTTACGCATCGCCGATAGGAGCCTGGCAGCCCCAACCCGCACAGGAAGGTGCCAATTCTGGGTCTTGTCGGCGATCTATCGGCGACGTATCGCCGATTCCAGGTCGATGTTCCCCCCCCCCCTCCCTGTGCCAGTCCACCCCTATCGTTGCCCCTAAGGCAAGCAGGGGGGGGGAAGCCAGGAACAGAAAATAGCATAAACACACAAAGTGCGGGAGCTCCGCGCAGATGTCTTGATCGGCTGGCGCTGGAGCCCCCTGGCGGAGCCTCTGGCGCCGCCCCTGGCGCGCGGAGCGCGCCAGGGTGGGGGTCCAGCGCCGATCCAAGAAATCAGCGTGGACCTCTGACAGCTCATGTTTATAGCACCTTTTGATTCCTCGGGTAGGGCAGAGAACCCGTTCCTTTACCGTTTCGCTTCCTTCTTCGCCCACTCGAGGGTCGAGGCCGATCCCGGCAGCTGGAGTCCGACGAGAGTTTCAGGACGGCGGCGGTGATGCCCCGACTAGCCTCCGCTTGCACAGGATGAAGATGCTCCTCTTGAGGCGCTAGCTGCGATGACCGGTTGCCGAGAGAACGTCGGCGCTGCCAAATGTACGGCGCACGGCGTCTGGACAATTTGCTTATAGCAGCCGGGGGGGAGGAAAGATGCATTCATGTTGTGTGCGACCCGTGCGCGATGAGGGTCAGTGGGGTCCGTGAGACAACGCGCGACTTGTCTGTGGCAGTTCGTAACCAAACCTCTTTCCCCGCAGAATCTTAACAGCGGCGGGCCAGGGTGCCGCGGATCTGATGTTTCTCGGTCCGCTGGTTTAATTTAACATTTAACCATTTCACAGCGTATACATCGGGTCCATGTGAAAAAAGATAGTCACGGACATCATATCCACACCATCTGAAAACTAATCCTCGCGGGCGGAAGCCGGATCCACCGCAACACAAATCCAAGCCGAATTTGGATCCGTACCAAGCTAATTTGACACGCCAAGGTTTATCCAATGCGCGTTGGCGCAAGAGTTCAAAGCATCATGTCCAGCCCAAGATGAACAAAAAACATCCCTGGATGTAGTGGACAACGGTCAGGCTCGGGATCCGATTCGGCAGAGTGGTAACGGATGTGTATCACCACGGGGGGGAGGGTGAGTTTCCAAGAGACCATCCGAGCAGAGGTTGTCAGAGATGGCAGTTTCGGAGACTCTCTCGTGATGGTGGCCCACTCCCCCCGCCCCCTCTGGCGCGCCGCCAAGGCTGGTGGAGATGGCGGGCGGGAAGACCTCCGACGGCGTGACTGGCAACAGCGTTCTGGACCTCAAGATCGAGGCGGTGGACCAGCGCTGCGCGCTCGCCATCGGTTCCGCCAATGAGGTCGATCGCTTCAACGACATGGTCGTGAAGACGGCCGTCCCGGCGTGATCATGGGGCCGACGCCTTATTGTTTTACATTGCCCAGCTTCCCAATTCCAGAGAGGTTGCGTTTCTTTTCGACGGATCGTGGTTGATTTTTCCTGCCAGCGCGACGTCCAGTGAAGTTTAAAAGCGATGATCCCCCACCTCCGCCCGTTGCTTGCCCCTCCTCCTTCTCCGCCTCCTCCGCTGTCTCCTCCACTGTCTCCTCCGCTGTCCCTTCCGCTGTCCGCATCCGCTGTCCCTCCCGCTGTCCCCACCGCATCCTCGCCCTCCTTCTCGCCCACCGCCATCTCCGCCTTCCCCATCCTCCATCTCCCCCAGGTTTGCAGACCCAGAGCGCGAACGCCACTCATGAGTAGAAAGCACAGTTGAATCGAGCGGGAGCGTTATTGTTGTTGGAGGGCCAGTTTTCGGCGGCGAGCAAGGGCACCGGCCTTGAGTGAAAAGCGAGGAAATCTGTTTTTTTCGGTTGAAGTTCCCCTCTTGGGGCTCGCAACCTGTTTTTCTACAAGGGGAAATCTTGAGCCTCAGATTGTGCCCCTGGCCCTTGGTCATTGCAACAGCGGCTCCCGCCGGATATCTCTTTACAGCTTACTCAAAAACGCGCTGTCGCGCGGGGCTTCTTCATGATTTATCGGAGACGCTTACGGCGAATCACCGCCGCCCCATGCCCCTTTAGAAGCGCCTCTGTGGCCGACAGCTGGGCCAGAGCTTGGCCAAGCTATCGGGCCAGTTGTTCCCCGAGTCGGTTTGGACAGACTTCGGGGAACGCGTGGGGAAACAAGAAGAGGAGGAGGGGGAATGAGGAGAAAAGACGAGGAGGAGGAGGGGGAGGAGGAGGAGGAGGAGGAGGAGGAGGAGGAGGAGGAGGAGGAGGAGCAGGAGGAGGAGGAGGAGGAGGAGGAGGAGGAGGAGGAGGAGGAAGAGGTCTCTTGGGCGCCTCTTGGGGCACTCTTGGGGCCTCCTGGGATCTTCCTGGGGGCCTCTTGGAGGCTTTTTGGGTGCCTTTGGGGGCTTCTTGGGGGCCTATTTGGCCGTCTTCGGGCGTTCCTGGCTTGTCTGACACCGTCGGAAGCCGTCTTGGGGGCCTGTCTGGGTCGTCTTGGGGCCCTCTTGGGGCATATCAGGGGTTCTTAGAGGCCATCTTGGGCGTCTTGGAGGCCTCTAGGGTCGTCTTGGGACCCTCTTGGGGCCGTCGTGGGCCGTCATGGGGCCATCTTGGAGGCCTCTTGGGCGACCTTTGGGGCCTCTTGCGCCGTCTTGGGCCGTCGGCATGCCGAGAAGAAGCATACGCCAAAATCTTTCAAAACATCTAGGGAAATCAATGATGTTGGCCTCTTCGTGCCCTCCTGGAAGACCTCCTTGGACGCCTTTTGGGCCGGCCTGGAGGCCACTTGGGGGCTTCTTGGGGGCCTCTTGGGCCATCTTGAGGCCATCTTAGGCCGTCTTGGGTGCAGCTTGGGCCGTCTTGGAGGCATCTTGGGGCCATCTTAGCCGTCTTGGAGGCCATCTTAGGCGTCTTGGAGGCCTCTAGGGCCGTCTTGGGGGCATCTTGGGGGCCTCTCGTGCCGTCATGGGGCCATCTTGGAGGCCTCGTGGGCGATCTTGGGGGCTCTTAGGCCGTCTTGAGCCGTCGGAATGCCGAAAAGAAGCAAACGTCAAAATCTTTCAAAGATCACAGGGAAATCAATGATGTTGGCCTCTTGGGGGCCTCTTGGGCCGTCTGCCGTCATCTTGAGGCCGTCTCTGAGGCCTCTTGGGGGCATCTTGGGCCGTCTTAGGCCATCTGGAGGCCATTTCAGGCCGTCTTGGGTGCAGCTTGGGCCGTCTTGGAGGCATCTTGGGGCCATCATGGGGCCATCTTGGAGGCCATCTTGGGTGTCTTGGAGGACTCTTGGGCAGTCTTGGGGCCCTCTTGGGGGCATCTTGGGGACCTCTTGGGGGCCGTCATGGGGCCATCTTGGAGACCTCTTAGGCGATCTCGAGGGGATCTTGGGGGCCTCTTGGGCCGTCTTGAGCCGTCGGAATGCCGAGAAGAAGCAAATGCCAAAATCTGTCGAAAACCTCGGGACAACCAATGATTTTGGCCTCTTCGGGCCCTCCTGGAGGACCTATTGGAGACCTCGTGGGTCGTGTTGGGCCGTCTTGGAGGCTTCTTGGGCGTCTTGGACTCTCTTGGGCCGTCTTGGGGGCCGTCTTGGACCATCTTGGGCAAACTTGGAGGCCATCTTGGACCATCTTGGAGACCATCTTGGGCCAACGTGGCCATCTTGGCTTCATCTTGAGCCATCTTGGAGGATTTTTTTCCGGATTGAGCTCCTTCCCGGGACCCCAACGGGACGAGGAGTTCTTTTGGAAAAGAACCAAAACCAAAACCGAGAGGATCTAGCACGCCAGGCACCCCTGTGATGAGTCAACAGGGGGCGGCGGATCGATCGGCTTTCGGCCCATCCCGCCACCGGGCCTGCGTTGTGGGTTAGAGGTCTCGGAGGCATCTCGGGGGCCTCTCGGAGGCAGTTTTGAAGCCTCTTGGGTGCCGTGTGGGGGCCTCTTGGGGCATCTTTTTGGGGGCCTCGTGGGGCCTCATAGGAAGTCTCTTGGGCTCTCCTGGGGGTCCCTGGGCCTTCGGCCGTCTCATGGTCCTCCTGCGGCGATTTACAACATATTTTTTGCGGCGGATTATACAAGGATTTCTTCTTTGGCGGATTACAGAAGCATCAATGTGTGGCAGATTGCAAAAGGAGTCCTGTTGTGGCGTGGCTGGTATTTAGTCCACACGTTCATCAAACAACGTGAGATACCCATACTGCCATACGCTGTTATCTTTGCTTTCTTGTTCCCCGGATATGTTTCGTTTTTCTGTTCTGCCCTGGTACGCTTGGGCCCTCGGTCGCCTTGCACGTCCGCTAAAAAGGATCCCTTCTGTGGCGGATTACAGAAGGATTTCTTATGTGGCGGATTATAAGAGGATTACTTTTGTGGCGGATTGCAAACATATTTCCTTTGGGGTGGGTTGCAAAATGATTTCTTTTGTGACGTGGCTGGTAGGCCAACAAAACATCTAAACACGTGAGAATACCATACGGTTTTCTCTTGTTATGGTTGATACTTTTTCTGGTTTGCCTGATACCCCCCTAGGCCCTCGGCCATCGCCACAACAAGGATCCTTTCGTGGCGGATTACAAACGGATTCATTCTGCGGCGGATTACCACAATATCCCTGTATCAAGAAGCGAAGAAACACAACAGGAAAAGAACGCGACCAAGTCGAATATAGAGTGAGTTTTCCCCCCTCGTCTGGCCACACCTCCCCAAACGCTCGAGCGTGAGGTTAGCTTTCGAAGGAGATGCAGCCAGCGCCGAGGCGAGAGCGCAGGAGTTGTGTATACACACCTTAGGCGATGCTTAAGAAAACTTAAGTTTTCGGCCAGAGTCTCGATGATTCTTAATGTTTCAATGTAAATCCTAAGATTTGAATGGGAATGTTGGGTTTTTAGTCAAGTTCTGAGACTATGAATTTCTCAACCCATGATTTCTTAAGCATTTCGCAGGGTGTACATTCAGATTCCACGACGACGACGACCTGCCAGGACATGCTCGTGGAGATGCGGGCGCCGCTCGGCCTGCCCTGGCAGAAGGTCGCCCCGTGGGCGTGGCAGACGATGGTGGCGGTCGCGTACCTGCACCATAACAGGCCCCGTCGTCCGGCGGAGGAGGAGGAGGAGGTGGAGGAGGAGGTGGAGGAGGAGGGCCAGTGTAAACTCAAGGCCCGTCAGCGATGTTGGAATAAGCCCTCCCTCCAAGCTCCCTCTTCTTCAGGCCCCTGCAGGCACTGAGGGAACTGCCTCGTTGGGAGACAACCACGCCATTCCCGGGACTTCAACGCCACGAATCAGCTTGACTGTTGCGCCTTGACGATCTTGAACCTTGCCGGAACACCATTCGTGGACTTCAACACCGCGAATCAACGTAACTGTTGCGCCCTCTTGACCCGGAGTCTTTCCACAACACCGTCTATGGCACGTTAACCATGGATAGCCGTGAAGCTCTTGCAATTGTTCAAGACGAATGTGCGCGGCCCTCAGGCGAGAGCCACATTTTGAAAACCACCACCCTCAATCCGCGAAGTTCTCGGCTGCGCTAAGGCGAGAGCCACAAATTGAAAATGAACCGCCCTCAATCCGTGAAGCTCTTGCAAATGTTTACCTCGAATGTGCGCGGCGCTGAGGGAGCTACATTTCGAAAAGTATCCGCCCTCCATCTGCGAAGTTGTTGCCAGTTTCTAAGCTTCAGGGTCATAAATGGTGAGGAAGTCTCAGGCGAAACGCCCAGCCCGCCCTTTAGAGCGGCCTCGGGGTGCGACAGGGATTATAAGGAAAGGACGACGAGGAGAAGGAGGAGAAGGAGGAGGAGGAGGAGGGGGAGGACGAAAAGGGAAAGGATATTGTGTCGGATCATTTGGGAGGGCACCATGAGCTCATCAACCACGGAGAAAGAGAAGGAGGAGAAAAAGGAGGCCGTGAAACGCGAGGTAACGAGAAGGAGGAGGAGGAGGAGGAGGAGGAGGAGGAGGAAGGGGGAGGAACGGGGATGAGAAAGAAGAGCAGTAAGAGGAACGGGGAGGAACGGGGAGGAGAAAGAAGTGCAGCAAGAGGTGGAGGACGTGGAGGGGGAGGAGGAGGAGAAGGAGGAGGAGGAGGAGGAGGAAGAAGAAGAAGGAGCAGAGCGGATGGGAGTGTGCCGTTTCTCTGCCCCTCTGGGCTTCTTTGAGGGACCTCGTCGCCACACCTGGACTCGGCCACGTGCCGCTCGGCCTCGCCTTGCTCGGCGCCCTCGTTGGACAGCGGGCGGACGGGCGCGACAGGCTGCGTCGTGGACTTCGATCACCTGCCCGACTCATGCCTGGACCCCTCCTGCTGCTGCCACTGGCAGTACACCTTAGGCGATGCTTAAGAAAACCCAAGTTTTCGGCCAGAGTCTCGATGATTCTTAATGTTTCAATGTAAATCCTAAGATTTGAATGGGAATGTTGGGTTTTTATTCAAGTTCTGAGACTATGAATTTCTTAACCCATGATTTCTTAAGCATTTCGCAGGGTGTAGTCGTTGCGGCCTTTGTTGGCCCTCG